GCTCGAGGTTAGAGTCTGAAAATTCCTCCACCCGATCAGAGCAGGAAGAGTCGTAAATCGACGTCATGCTGTCTCGAGCCGTTGCTCGCTCCGCGCGAAGCGTGCGAGCCGCAACACTGAACCGGTCGCCACTTCAAACTCAGAGAGCACTTCTCCCGTCGCTATGGAGCAGACATATGGCACAGGACAGTAAACCTCCACAATCTACAACACCCAAATCACAGCAAGCTTCCTCAAATACGGCCCCACAACAGTCCTCTCCAGACTCACAGCAAGCGCCTTCAAGTACGGAGTCCGAGGTCCCAGCCGAGAAGAAGCCGACCGAAGCCGCGTCAGACCAGCCCGAGCCGGAGATCGATTTGTCCAAATTGCCCAATCTGACGCAAGGTATCCCTTCTACGTTTGAATTCGAGGCTGCTGGGGCAAAGGCAGACAAGGCTTCGGCCGAGGCACTTGAGGAGGCTACAGCCGCGGCGGGCGGAAGCGGCGGGCGAGGGAAAGGGGAGTTGCCGGCTTCTGCCTATGTCTCTTCTTCCGAACGTAGAAGGCAGGCCTGGGCCAACCGCATGTTTGCCGGGTTTGGCCTGGCCCTCGTTGCTGGCACGGTATATCTTGGTCGGGACTTGGACGAGGAGGAGGCACAGAAGCACCCAGACGTCCAGAACGGCTGGGGTTTCGGCTTGTGGTGGGCGAGGGTCAATGCTAGATTTGGCAAGACGCTCAGTTACTACCAAGAACCGGCCTTTGAGAAGCTGCTCCCCGATCCCGACCCGTCTTTCGAGAGACCATACACGCTATGCATCAGCTTGGAGGACATGCTTGTCCACAGCGAATGGACGCGCGAGCATGGCTGGCGTGTGGCCAAGAGGCCTGGTATGGACTACTTCTTGCGTTACCTGAGCCAGTATTATGAACTGGTTCTGTTCACCACTGTTCCGTTCGCCATTGCCGATCCTCTTGTGCGCAAGCTGGATCCCTTCCGTTTCATCATGTGGCCTCTCTACCGGGAGGCCACCAAGTTTAAGGATGGCGAAATCGTCAAGGTAATTTGAACATCTCTTGGCACGGCATGTTTCCCATGACCACGGACTTGGCTAACAGACAACGCTGCAGGACCTTTCTTACCTCAACCGTGACCTCTCCAAGGTGATTATTGTCGACACCGACCAACGACACGTACGCGCTCAACCGGAGAACGCCATCGTGTTACCGAAGTGGACCGGTGATCCCAAGGACACTGAGCTGGTGTCGCTGATTCCCTTCCTCGAATACATCCACACGATGCAGTATGGTGACGTCCGCAAGATTCTCAAGTCGTTCGAGGGCAAGCATATTCCTACCGAGTTTGCCCGGAGAGAGGCCATTGCACGTGCGGAATTCAACAAGCAATTAGAGGCCCACCGCGGCAAAGCTGCTGCCAAGGGTAAAGGAGGCATGACCACCCTTAGTAGCCTGTTGGGTCTCAAGCCCAGCAACCTCAGCATGATGGTCGGTCCCGAGGGAGAGGAGGCTCCCAGTGAGGCTTTTGCTAAGGGCAAGATGATCCAGGACCTTGCTCGGGAGCGTGGTCAACGCAACTATGAGATGCTGGAGAAGGAGATTCGTGAGAACGGAGAGAAGTGGCTGAAGGAGGAGCAGGAAGCCCAAGAAAAGGCCCAGAAGGAGGCCATGAAAAGCATGCAGAGCTCCTTTACCAGCTGGTTTGGCGTCTCCAAGGACGACACTCCAGCGGCTACTGCCGAGAAGAAGTGATTGCCTAGCACGACAAGTGCCGCTATGTAAGACCACCATGTCCTGTTTTATAGTCTGATTTTCTGTGTTTTGCATTCTTCAGACGGGGTACAGCTGAGTGTGTGGCTCTGGTTTGTTTGTTGGGTGGTATAACTCTCCGCTTACGGTCGGGGCTGGAGAGCATCTACGTTTATAGCATAAGGGACACGAAGGGAAACGTGTACGGACACTCTCCCACCCTCACCACTGTAATGTATTGTTCGCCTGAGGGTGGCAAGTGTTGTGATAGTGTAGATTAGATGATTCAAGAGAGATGGCCAGTCTGTCTTCAAAGTACCAAGCCAAAATTTGTACTGCCTGTCTTATAAAGGACTGTTGCACCCGCCTCTGCCAGGGCGCCCTCGTTAACATATATCTGATACATTCCTGAACGTGCTTGTGCTCGTCTACGATCTAGTGACAGGCAATGTCACCCAACTATCTTCCAGTCGCAAAAAAACGTCCCACGTGGCTCAACAGCACACGACTTCCGCGCACGATTTGGGCATACGGGCACACAAGTCGTGGCTAACTTGCCATTGGGACTGTTACCCCATCCTTGACGAGTGACACAGAGTCCATCCAGTGAAGTCTTCTCTAGTGTCTCACCAAAAGAGCTCAACTACATACACCTAGTTGATCATGCCTCTTCCGACACAGCAACGTTCAGTTTCTCCCTTGCCATATCATTGGTCCTTATCCTTTACATGATCTGGTAGTCGTAACCGTTGTATCCGCCACATCCTCACCGCGACATGAAGGAGAACAAGAAACGTGCGTGGCAGTGGGTGAGCATTTTGCGAGGAGCCACTCTTCTTCTGTTGACGACCAGCCGGGCTGCTCGCTTGTGCCGGAGCCGGTCTCATCTGCAGATGTTACTCTACGGACCGTCACGAAGCTTGATCACTGCCTAACACCGAAATGGACGAATTGAAAAGCCAGACCATTAGCGATTTGACCCTGCGGTGCTCGTCTAAGGCGCGACCTGCGCCCAATCCAACATGCTACATCCCGCAATCCAGATACATACAAAGAAGTTAGTACAAGGTGGGTATAGAGTTTACATCAAGACTTCTTCTGCCCTTCCCCTTTCTTCGACTCCGTCTTCAGAACCTTTGCCTCAACAACGACGTTTTTGGCCGGCTGCTTAACCAAAATCTTGTCCAGATCAATGCCGGCAGACGACAGGACGGATAGAACAACAGTAGCCAGAATAGCTCCTACTGTAATCAGGTCCAAGGTATGCACCAACCACCACAAATGCTGGGTCCCGAGTGGGCATGTGGCATACTCAAACCTCCACTGCCACTCGTCATAATCAAACCACGCGCTCACCAGTCCCGCATTGCCCCCAAAATCGCCCATCATACTCCGCACCGTGATCTCCCTGATACCGGGGAGCTCCTTCTTACCAACGAAATCAGTCATTTTAGCCTGCCGCCACCGACGAACCTCCCATGTCCGGTTTTCTTCCACCTCCGTCTGGTTGATGAAGTGGTAGGTATCGCAGCCCTCATGGTCATGTCCATTGAGAATGAGACCAGGTCGTCCGCGTCCGCTGGCCGGTGCGTTGACATTGCCGCTCATGCCGTAAATGCCCTCCAGAAACCCACGACTGGCGTCAACACTGAGCTGGTTTTGCTCTTTGAGGGTGCCGTCATGCTCATGGAAGTCAAAGAATGGCGAATCCACGCAGACGCCCTCAGGTTTGTACAGCGGGATGTGGGTGAGTATTATGGTGGAATGGCCCTTGAACTCGACGGCCGTTGCCGTGTTGATTACCGAGTTGATGAAGCTGTAGGTTACATCTTGGAGCTCGGTTGACGATGCCGGTGTATCCAGGTTCATGTCGTTCAGCACAATCAGACGAAGCTCGGGGACGAGACGATCCGAGCCGCGGTTCGTGACCTCATTGTAAATGGTAGCATTAGCCAAGGCGTCCGTCACGGGCAATTCAAATCGAAGCTCGTAGTTTGCTTTGCCAAAGGCACGTTCAAACCGCTCAAAACGCTCATCGTTAATGTCCCCCGCGTATCCAATGTCGTGGTTTCCGGCCACGTTGATGATCCGCCGTTCCCACACCTCCGTTTCATTATTCGGCACCGTGGCCAGTAACCCCGAGACGTCATATTCTTGTGCTGGCGTCCGGGCGACCTCGTCGGGCACACGCTCCGCCCCGCGGAAAACCCGCTTCCAATATCGCCTGCTCCGGAGATCAAACTCCTTGTCGTCGATCCATTGACTTCCCACAAGATCGCCCAGGACTGTCACGTGTGTCGGCCTGGTCCACCAGTGGACAGTGCGATAGATGTGCGCAAGGTAGAAATCGTTTCCAAAATGATCGATGCGTTTCCGGACAGACTCGATCGTGTTCGGGATGTCTTCGAAGAATATGTCGATGATGTCGTGCAGAATCTGCCGTACGCGCCAACGAAGAGAGTAGTGTTCCGTCTGAAATGTCAGGTGTCGAATGGTCGTCCACAAATGGGGGAATGCCTCCCCGATGTACACGGTAGGAATCGAAGTGTCGCCCTCGAGCTGGGGGTCCGCGAGAGTGAGGAGACGGAATGGCGCAAGTGGTGAAGAGCTAGGCGGGTGTTGAACATCGTGAGAAAAGGGCGAATGTAGACTTGCCGTGGCACGAAAAGCCGTTTCACCTGTGTCAGCAGCCTTGTTGTCGGTTTGCGGCAATGGAAACGTGCATCGCGAGAACACTGGGAAAAGGTACAGATAGAAGGTGAGGACTACCGACAAGGGAACGAGGACCCGCAACCAATTGCGAATAGCCGTAGCACAATAATGTTGGTTCATGTAGACGACGGCATGAGGTGAGATTCCTCTCCTCACCGGACCAAAATCCAAAATTGAAAGAACAGTTTCTTGACATTTCAAGACCGCCAGAGGTCCAAGTCGCGGTTCAAGAAAATAAGCACATGCAACGCACGGGTGGGTGGAGCCAGGGGTGCTTGGCAGTACCCCAACTTGCGTACCCCAAAATAGGGGTCTCAAGTCTCGAACCCCCCTGCTGGGTCTTGGACGTGGTGGCTCAGCTGGGGTAGGTAGCATGAAAGGTGAGGGGTGCGTCTGCTATGTCGTGTCAGGCGCATTCGCAAGGTATGCTTAACTAAATTGCCAGTGTCGAAAGGGTGCAGAGTGCTATATGCTAATGTTGTTGCAACTTGGCAAAACGCTTGTGAAATGTGCGCACCAGACAAAAAGACGCGAAAAGTTGATCTGGCCCGGGATCGAACCGGGGACCTTGTCGGTAATTTGCTCACAAATGTGAACGACACGTGATAACCGCTACACCACCAGACCAGGAAGATGTATTGCTATAAGTTCAAAACAATTCTGATGAGAATACTACACTCAGAGACTCTGACTGAGCAAATATCCCCCTTCAAATTATAGATAACTTGCTGGACCTGACCCCGGGTTATCTACTACGTACTAGCGACTGGCAGTGCGCATATATGCGTCAAGTCTTCAGTGTCAAATAGGCACGTGGCTATGGTAGCTTTCGACCTACGGCGAGATGTTCCATGGTTGGAGGTTCGAGCGCTCGAATGTTCCAGAGCTTGGGCCAAGCGTACAGTAGAACTTACCTCATCCACTCGAACCCCATCCGAAGCTTCCTTTCACTCATCGAAACGTCATCCTGTTTTGCCTCGACATCTTCCATTTATAGCGACTTATTGCGCCTTTGCGCAACCCTTCCTTGCCTAGCGATCCTCAGATTAACCAAAACTTATACCGACACGTTCAAGACCATGTCGTTCACCATCACGGTGCGCCGGGGCCCTGCCCGACTGGCGCAACAGTTGCCACAGCTCTCGAAACCCTCCTTCAAGCACACGGCGCAAAGCTCGCCCATCCTTACTACCACAGTTCGGGCTTTCCACCAATCTACCCCCAAAAACAGCTTCTTTACTTCGAGGACGGGCTCTCCCAAGTGGCAAAGATCACCAGATGCGAGGTTCGCCAACACCTTGGTTGGACGCCTGGCCGGCGCAAGCCGGTCGTACTACCAGCAGGCCGCTCAGCCAGCAGCAGACCAAGGCACACTGATGCGCAAGCTGCTCGTCGGCGGTGCTATCTTTGGGGGTACCATGGTGGCTATCAACGTCGTCTTCAACCGGGAGACGCGGGAGGACGGCGGCATGCCCACCTTTGAACGCAGTTATCTCAACAATACTTTCCTCCATACTGGCTTGGGCGTCGGCATCATCGGCTTGACCGCCTACAAGATGATTCAGACTGGCTTCGTCTATCGGCTCATGGTCACCAACCCTTGGGTGTTCGCCATTGGTGGTCTTGCCCTGTCCTTCGGTACTATGATCGGCACCCGCTCTATCGATCCCGACAAGTAAGTCCCCTCTGCCCAACCCTTCACTACTACTGGTAGTTGTTCCAGTATGCTGACTATGTTTGCCGCAGCTACGTTCCCAAGTATGCGCTTTGGGCAGCCTTCAATGCCACTCAGGCCGCTTTTGTCGCCCCTCTCCTCACCTTTGCCCCTGGTGCACTCATCGCCCGTGCTGGTCTCTACACGGTTGCCATGATGGGCTCGATTGCCTTTGTTGGTGCCACGGCTAAGCAGGAGAAGTACATGTACATCGGCGGTCCTCTGTTGGCGGGTGCCGCTATCGTTGCTGTCTCTGGTTTCGCTCCTCTCATCATTCCGGCCACCGCCGTCCGGACCTTGGCTTTCACTGAGAACATTTGGCTCTGGGGCGGCCTTGCCGTCTTCGGTGGCTTCACTCTCTATGATGTGCAAAAGGTGCTCTACCACGCCAGACTCGCTGAGCGTGGCGTCATTAAGCGGGATCCCATCAACGAGAGTATCAGCCTTGAGCTGGACTTCCTCAACATCTTTGTCCGGATCGTTCAGATCCTGATGATGCAGCAAAACAGGCGGAAGTAAGCTCGCCGAGTGTTTTCGGCACGTTTTCAACTATGCACTGGATGAGGTGGACCAGGTTGAACGCCGAGCATAGGCATGTAGTGCAGAGGAAACACTCAGTTCACCTGGTTTGTCCATCCAGTTGTTGTTAGAAGTTGCTCCAAGAGGCTTGGTGGTCCACATCTCCTCTCAGCAAACTTAAGGAAAGGAGTTATCGGCGTCATGGTGGCGGAGAATCACAAAGTGTATCAGTATGGTGTCATAACGAATCTTCTTATAGCCTTCTCTCATGTCTCAAAGGCGAACAAATACATGTCATAAGTCCTTTCATATCATCGTGTTCTAGCTGCTAGCTTTTTGAAGCTCAAACGCGGTACAGACTGTATTCAATAATCAAGACATCCTCTTTTCCCGGGTGACTTAGGTCTATAAATCAGGCTCTTCTTGGCTCGGGCACTCTGCAATCACTTGAGGTCAGGGAACGTTCTCAAGTGATGGCTCGGGCACTCATATCCGTCGGGATTCTTGTCCAGGTAAAGCTGGTGGTAGTCCTCGGCATCCCACCACTGACCAGCAGGGAGGATCTCCGTAACGACCTTGCCACCCCACCACTGCTCGTTTACCTTCACCGTAACCTCTCTTGCAATCTTCTCCTGTTCCGGTGAGTGGTAGAAGATGCCACTGCGATATTGGGTCCCACGGTCTGGACCTTGGCTATTGCGGGTGGTCGGGTCGTGCATGCGGTAGAAAAATTCGAGGATCTCACGGTAGCTTATCTTCTTGGGGTCGTAAGTGATTTGGGTGGCTTCGGCGTCTGGTTCGAGTCATTAGCTCCTTGTTCGCCAACTAGTTTTTCGAGACACGGAACAAGCGGTAACTTACGATTTGTAGTACCAGAGCAGACCGAGCGGTAGGAAGGGTTCTTCGTGTCGCCGCCAATATATCCTACACGGGCATCATAGAGTCCCTTGCTGCCGAAATGTTTGCGATACATGTGCTCCACGCCCCAGAAGCAGCCGGCCGCCACGGTCGCTGTCTCGGCGCCATCAGGAATGGTCCTTGCGGAGAGCGCTGGTGATCCAAGCCCTAGCTGTGTGGAAGATGTGAATGGCCGGATCAAGCGAGCGAGGAAGGAGGGTGCCGAGAATACCATTTTGAAGACGGCTTGCAGTAGTATGCGCCGAGAGTTCTTGCTGGCCTAATGGCTGCAGGCTTGTTGAAGCTGGGAGTTGAGAGAAAGCGCGCGCGCTGATTGTCTACAGCGCAATAAGAATTATCCTTCCACCGGCTTGCCACTGTATATGAAGGTCACGGAATGCATGTCGCAAGAAAGGATGTCGGCGGGAGCTGGTCCGGTGTACTATGTAGCTGTCATGGTGGGGTTGGGAGCCGCTGGGCTTACGTGACGCCGCTCTTATGACAAATGTCTCCAGGTCGAGTAAGGTTGCTCAAACCCCCTGTGCTTAGCCCCAGCGTAACAATGCGGCCCGGTCATGAAGTGTTGAAACAGAAGTGCTGTCGGATCATCTGTCGAGAAACCGATTGCATAGAAGGAAATAAAGCAGGGCTCCGAGTGAAAAGTTTACCAGGGTACCTCCCTTACATACCTCTACCCAGAAGTACCTGACTCTGTACACATAGGTACGAGTGTGCAGGTTCCATGGAGGAGCTAGAGTACCTAGGTACTCCCTACGAATCACCCATATGAGCCCACAACTCCCATCCTCGACACGTAAGACGACTTATATCAACTGCTGCACGGAGCCTGGCGTGCAAGTCTAGTTAAGGTACGTACGAGAGACTTGTGCATTAACCATGGTTGCTAAGGAGGCACTGGTTGACTACCCAGGTACCTACACTCGCTACCTTGAAATGGTGTAGGCACCTGTACCCGACCCTTCATAGAATGTGGGTCCTGCAGTGGAAGGGTCCAGAGTTTGGGAACAACCCCGATCGCATCTACAGATACGTTTGTTTGGGGACTCATCCACAGCCCCTCAGTTCTCAAGAACACGCAGACCTGTTGTTTCACCAGTGACAACCATAGAATAAAAGTCGTGGCTCGCCCTTCTTTCTAGTCGGCGTTGATCATCAGCCCAGTGGAAATGGAATGTCTCTTGTGTGTGATAAGCCAGTCGGTTGCGGGCGGATGGAGTTCAACCACCAAGAAATCTTAGTGGTCGGGTGCCTCCGGGGAATGTCCTTAGCTCGAAGGCCACCTGCTAGGGTTGCTGCGTACAACGTCGGCAGGTCTTGGCATTCAAAAGCCCGCGTGTCCCGCACCTTTCTCTCCCGGTTTCCTGGGCTTGTGCATCTTTTCTGCCACTGAACACCTCCAGCCAAGCTTTTCAAGCGAAGCGCCCAGCCGGGTTCCCCCTCTCCTAGTTGAACCAAAACTTTTGCTCTTGTGCTCTTGTTTCACCAACCCTACGTGACCGAGTTGCTACCCCGAAAACTTCAATCACTTTGTGGTTTTTTTTCTGGTCCCGTGAAGATCCCGCGTCTGGATGCATCGCCCCCTCGAATCATCGTGCGGGTTCTGCTGTTTAGACGTCCGCAAAATGACGTGAGGATGTCAATGAGTAAGTGTTCTGGCCTCCCCCCTTTTTTTCTCTGTCTTTATCTATGATGGGATCCAACGGCGTCTCGAGGCCGAGTGTCCCGGCGCCGAAGATTGCCATCATCCCGTCCGACGCCTTGGCCGTTTTGCCAAGACCAGTGCCAAGGCCGGGGTTTCTTGCATCACAGAACTGACGTTGGACAGATGTTGATGAAATCAGTAATGTCGTGTAAGTTGTCTTACCTTCCTCTGGCTATTCATATCTTGCTATTTGCTTCGGTCGTACTGTTTGAATCTTCACGGTCGCAGTCGCGCAATCTGTCGACCATGCTTGTTTCCCGCGTTTTTGCTCTTATACCCCCTCGACGATCCCATGATCAAGCTCTCTCCCTCTATATCCTCCACACGATGAAATCGGACTGACGAGTGCCTTTGCGTCGATGGCAGTCTTCTGTTCAGCAACCCTGCATGGAAGGGGACAGGGACTGTCCCAAACACGCTTATCAGAAACGTTACGGATTCTTCGGTGCGTACTGCCCTCTTTCTCTACCATGAGTCTGACATGTAGCTAAAGGCGCCGGCAATGCTTAGTTGGGCTATTCCTCGGTAGTCGCTGGAAATGTCACTGTACTGGCATCCAGATACGCGTCAACAACAAACGGCGACATCCAGGGGTTGCTGTATATTCCCGATCTCCCGGCGGGTAGTGACTGCCTGTCTGATGTTAGCGAGTACGTGTCGAGCCGTGCTGTTAGGAAAGCTGACCTTCCTCCGACCAACTTCAACCTCATTGCCATCGCGCCTTGGGTAACGCCAGAATGTACCCGGGCTTTTCTTGCCTCTGCAAGGACGGAC